AGTCCATAGGGTTCAATATTGAGTTGGCCCGCCCTTTACAGCTATAACAGCTTCAACTCTTCTGGGAAGGCTGTCCACAAGGTTTAGGAGGGTGTCTATGGGAAGGTTTGACCATTCTTCCAGAAGTGCATTTGTGAGGTCAGGCATTGATGTCGAACAAGAAGGCCTGGCTCACAGTTTCCACTCTAATTCATCCCAAAGGTGTGCTATTGGGTTGAGGTCAGGACTCTGTGCAGTCCAATCAAGTTCCTCCACCTCAAATGCGCTCATCCATGTCTTTATGGACCTTGCTTTGTGCACTGGTGCGCAGTCATGTTGGAACAGGAAGGGGCCATCCCCAAACTGCTCCCACAAAGTTGGGAGCATGAAATTGTCCAAAATGTCTTGGTATGCTGACGCCTTAAGGAGTTCTCTTCACTGGAACTAGGGGGCAAAGCCCAAATCCTGAAAAACAATCCCACACTATAATCCCCCCTCTGTGACGATTGCAGCGTAAGACTCCAGCCCTTCTCACCAAGCTCGTGACCGAAGGACTAGCCAATCTAAAACCGCGCTGTCACGTGCGTAACAATGCCATGCCCAGCTGCACCCTGCACAAAGATTTTCCAACTCACTGGACCACAATCGATGTACCGGCAACCTGAGAGCGATTGTTACTGGGTCAGGTTAATTTGGCAATTAACCCTTCACACTGCCACCACCTCCTTTTTGTACAGAGAAAGAGGAAACTCGGCAATAACACTATGATGGTTAGATAATCGTCCGTATACCACTGTCACCGCAGGCAGGTTATACAGAGGGTTAAACACACACACAGTAGCGCTCTTCAGTGGCAGGAATTCGTAATTTGCAGTAAAGAGCTTTAGAAACAGTTCAACACTTTTAGAAAGTAAGATTTATTACTAAAATGTCAAAAGGGTGCAAAAAAATATGTACAGAAAAAGATGTAGCCAATATATATACTGTATATATGAATATACAGAGAACAATAGCACGGCAAAGGGATAACAGAAAGAAGTTTAGGTAGATAAAGTACTTACCAAAAAGCCTTGGGTTAAGCAGCTTCAAGTTTCATGAACCAAAAGGATTTCTTATCTCCCACTGTCAGTTTCGATGTTAAAAAAGGAGAATTCTTCAACTAACTTAACTCAGCTCAGCTTTTTCTAGCAACTCCACAGGGTGTCTCCCTGAAACAGAGAACCAATCGCCTAATTTGGGGAGGGAGTTGTAGGTGGAGACCTCAAGCTATGACCAAAAATCCCTCATAGCTTATATTATGGTTCATAACTTACCCTGGATACATATAACATTCTATCCACGAGTAGATTAATACGCAGAATCTTTGGCTGAACGTCTACATATGAAATATGAGATACCTGCTGGGATGGTTAAGGAGATATTATTTTTTGCTCTCCTGTTGATCTCAGCTAGGGGATGTAATATATCAAATGATTTGTATTAAAGTGAGCCATCCGAATATGTGCTCCATGTTTGTGTAAGTCTTTCATAATCCAAGATATGTAATCATAGGGGAAAATGGATGTTTAAATGTGAGTTTTTAAATGCAAGTCTGTTTTTAGGACTCCCTGGAATGCCTTGAAGTTCAGTGAGGGCTTGGTTTATGGCTTGATGAGCCCTCTCTAGCAAGAGTCTGGCAGACATCTGGGGACCTGCTAATTGAGGTTTATAGGCCTGGAGCTCTCCTGCTGAGCTTGACGCTTGTGACCTCTGCCTCATCCAGACCACATGTCACTCAACAGAGAGGGAGGGGGATGAGGAAAGCTGATTTGGGAGTAGGATATGATAGGAGATGGAAGACCCTTAACAAGATGGAGGACCGCGTCCATCTCTGTATGCATGATTGCTACACCCTCCACCAAACTTTACACTTGGCACAATGCAGTCAGGCAAGTACTGTTCTCCTTGCAATGGCCAAACCCAGACATGTCCATTGGATTGCCAGACAGAGAAGTGTGATTCATCACTCCAGAGTCCAGTGGCGAGTCCAGTGGCGGCATGCTTTACACCAATGCATCTGAAACTTTGCATTACACTTGGTGATGTAAGGCTTGGATGCAGCTGCTCGGCCATGGAAACCAATTCCATGAAGCTCTCTGCGCACTGTTGTTGTGCTAATCTGAAGGCCACATGAAGTTTGGAAGACTTTAGCTATTGACTCTGCAGACAGTTGGTGACTTCTGCGCACTGTGCGCTTCAGCATGCGCTGACCCCCTCTGTCATTTTAGGTGGCCTACCACTTCGTGGCTGAGTTGCTGTTATTTCCAGTTGCTTCCACTTTGTTATAATACCACTAACAGTTGACCGTGGAATATTTAGTAGCAAGGAAATGTCATGGATGGACTTATTGTACAGGTGGCAACCTATCACGGTGCCACGCTTAAATTTGATGAGCTCCTGAGAGCGACCCATTCTTTCACAAATGTTTGTAGAAGCAGTCTGCATGCCTAGGTGATGATTTTATACACCTGTGGCCATGGAGGAGATTGGAACACCTGAATCCAATGATTTGGAGGGGGGTCACAATACTTTTGGCAATATAGTGTATATGTAGGTTGCCAATGACCCTGGCTGAAAATGCTAGTTGTCCGTCATGCTGATTCAGCAGCTTTGGTAGTCACTAGGGTTGCCACCTCATCCCTTTAAAACCGAACACATATTAATTACACAGGTTCTAAGGCTAATTTAACACAAATGAGACACTGAGTTTAACTACCACTTTAACCTCCCTGGCGGTATTCCCGAGTGTAGCTCGGGGTAAAATTTCAGTACCAAAAGCGGTAACCCCGAGCTACACTCGGGCTTACCATGCGGCGTTGCTCAGGGAGCTCCTGCAGCGCTTACCTTGACCTTCGCTCCTGTGATGTGTCCCCTGCAGCGTCCCCGGCCATCTCCTCCGGCCGATGCCGGCATCCGTGTTCCAGCACGGAACCAGCAGCAAATTTGAAATTTTTAAAAAATGTAATTTTCTAAAAAATGATTATTACATAGTAAAACATTGCTGTTTCAATGCATTTCACATATATTTTGTCCCTACTGCTTTGTCCTGTGCCCTGCCTGCATTTTGACTGTTCTTTCTGCCTGGAAACTTAGAAAAGTCCATGGCGTCCAAAAAGTGTCCCTTTAGGTCAAAATCGGTTTTAGACCAGCTAGGGAACAGCGATAGTGAATCAGAACTACTTGCAGAATTGAGTGATAATGATTCATGGGGGAAATCCGTCATCAGACACTGAAAACGATTCTGTGACTTTGCTCAGTGATGTGCAAACTTGGCGCTATATTTCAAATTTCAGTGTTTTTGGTTTGATTATATTATTGAATTAAATTTATTATTATTATTATATTATTATTTTTTATGAATATTTTAAGTAAGTAATTACTAAGAATTGCAGGCCTACAATACATAACACCAAATTTCCATGCAAAAAATTGGTACGGCTTTTGGTACAAAATTCCTGACATAATCATACCGCCAGGGAGGTTAACCCTAGGTTCACATCTGTGCAGGTGCTGACACTGTGGATCTGCACAAAAATCTGTGCAGCCGCACCACCCGCACAGAGAAATGCGGACCTGCGGGCGGGTGCTATTATTTCTAATGGCACGCCGCCTGCACTGGAAAACGCAACCGTACTGGGAACCGAGGTTCCCGTGCGGGCTGCATTTTCGAAAGAAGTGCAGGGACTTCTGCGTGTCACGAGTACGGGAGTCCATTCAAATGAATGGGCTCTCGTGCCAGCGCAAAACGCGGCCCGCACGGCTGCATATATGTGAACTGGGGGTAAAGCAGAGTTCCACCTGAAAAAAAAAAAAAAAAAAAGTCAGCAGTGACAAAAACTGTAGCTGCTGACTTTTAACATACAGCCACTTACCTGTCCCTCGGTCCAGCGATGTCCTCACCACCGCTGGTTTCACCGGCCGTCTTCTCTCCCTGGCACAGGCATCTTCAGTGTGGGTACCCAGCTGTGACAGCTTGTGGCTTCACAACCAGGTGCCCACTGCGCATGTGCGAGAAGCACTGCGCTTTGTGAACGGCCCCGTAGTCTTCTGGGTACCTTTCCAATTTGGGTACCCCCCCGCTCCCCAAAGGTGCCAATCCTTAATGGGGAGTGGGGCACAAAGGCTTAAAGCGGAACATCCCTTTTGGGTGGGGCTCCCCTTTAATCAGCCACAGAACCTGTGTAGTTAATGTGTTTGGTTTTAAAAGGATGAGGTGACAACCCTAGTAGTCCCCCACAGCCGATGCCCGTATTTCATTATGCATGGATCCCGCTATTCGCTGGGCACACCAGTATTGCTTCATATTGAGGGGAATTTATCAAAACTGCTGCAGACAGGATCCGGAGCATGGCATCCAATCAACGTCTGCCTTTCATTTTCAAAGTCTAACTGAACAAGCTGAAGATAGAAGCTGATTGGCCGCCATGCACGGTTGCTCCAGTTTCGATAAATTCCCCGCACTGTCCTTATTTTTCTCGCCATTCATAAAAAGGTTGCAGTGTAAAGACTGTGGGCGTCCCACACAGTGGTCTCTGCATATGGCTCATAATGAATGGTGGGATTGCTTTGACAGGTCACATGGCCGGGCTCTCCTTTATTGTCATTGTTTCATTGTCTTCCAGCGACTCAGGACTGCCAGTCCCCATAGTTCACAATTTACAGGTTTTCCTTCTTCCATCCTGACCTCTACCATTCAACAAAAACTCAGGGACTTCCAATCCTCAGATGCCTGGCTGTCCTCCCTCCTGTCCCTGCGCCGAGGACAGTCCGCCAGCCATGACGTGCTAACGGGAACTCAGACCCATCTCCTCCCATTGTGTACAGGGGGAGGGGCCAGAATGTGCATCAACTCTCCTCCTGATAGGGAACACGGCACTGCCTTCTGATTGGCCGCGGCTCCCGTTGACGTGTATTATGTGAGTCGGCGCCGGTTACTAGGAGATAAGGCGGAAGTGATAGGGTGAGAGAAGTCTGACAGAAAGATGGAGGCTGAGAGAGAGAAGAGGAAGAGGCTGGATACCGGAAGATATTACTGACACAGGCGGCGGGGCTGCTCAGGGAGCTAGGGTGAGTGTGGGCAGCCTGCTATCCTGTACACTGTGTGTGGCAATATATGTATGGAGTATTAGAACTTTGAATATGTGTATATATATATACCTACATACATACACACACTATATCGCCAAAAGTATTGGGCCAGCCCTCTAGATCATGTGATGCAGGTGTTCCAATCCCCTCCATGGCCACAGGTGTATAAAATCATCACCTAGGCATGCAGACTGCTTCTACAACATTTGTGAAAGAATGGGTCGCTCTCAGGAGCTCAGTAAATTCAAGTGTGGAACCGTGATAGGTTGTCACCTGTGCAATAATCCACCAACTCAGCCACCAAGTGGTAGGCCACGTAAAATGACAGAGCATGCTGAAGCGCACAGTGCACAGAAGTCACCAACTGTCTGCTGAGTCAATAGCTAAAGACCTCCAAACTTCAGATTAGCACAACAGTGTGTAGAGAGCTTCATGGAATGGGTTTCCATGGCTGAGCAGCTGCATCCAAACCTTACATCACCAAGCGCAATGCAAAGCGTCGGATGCCGTGGTGTAAAGCATGCTGCCACTGGACTCTAGAGCAGTGGAGACATGTTCTCTGGATTGGCCAATCACGCTTCTCTGTCTGGGAATCTGATGGACATGTCTGGGTTTGGCAGTTGCCAGGAGAACGGTACTTACCTGACTGCATTGTGCCAAGTGTAAAGTTTGGTGGAGGGGGGATTTTGGTGTGGGGTTGTTTTTCAGGGGCTGGGCTTGGCCCCCTAGTTCCAGTGAAGGGAACTCTTAAGGCGTCAGCATAACAAGACATTTTGGACAATTTCATGCTCCCAACTTTGTGGGAACAGTTTTGGGATGGCTCCTTCCTGTTCCAACATGACTGCACACCAGTGCACAAAGCAAGGTCCATAAAGTCATGGATGAGTGAGTTTGGGGGGGAGGAACATGACTGACCTGCACAGAGTCCTGACCTCAACCCCATAGAACACCTTTGGGATGAATTACAGCGGAGACTGTGAGCCAGGGCTTCTCGTCCGACATCAGTGCCTGACCTCATAAATGCACTTCTGGAAGAACAGTCAAACCTTCCCATAGACACCCTCCTAAACCTTGTGGACAGCCTTCCCAGAAGAGCTGAAGCTGTTATATCTGCAATGGGTGGGCCAACTCAATATTGAACCCTATGGACTAAGGATGCCATTACAGTTCATGTGCATCTAAAAGGTGTCCCAATACTTTTGGCAATATAGTGTGTGTGTATGCATGCATGTATGTTAGACCAAAACATGGAAACTCTACATGATTTGCAGGTGTGAAGTGACAACATGTTTCACGCTGAAAGCAGAAGTGATGTAACATTCTTTTGCTTCTGCTGTGGGATGAGACCGCTAGTTAACAAGTGGGAAGCCTCACTTTCCTCATTCACTGTGTGCGCTGCTAGCAATACACAGTCATGTCAGACCTTACTGATCTTCAAAGAGCAAATTGCTTGTGCCGACCATTTCTGGGAAAATGTCGTCTGATAAGTATAAGTGTGGTCGACAAGGTCATCTAACCGAAAGAGACAAATGGACATTGCGCAGGATTGTGACCTGCAGTAGGAAAACAGCTGCTGCAGAAGTTGACTGCAAAGCTCAACCTCAGGCCAATGAAGACTAGACTTAAATGAGCAATTAACCTTTGACATTCAGGCACACAGCCCCACTGCAAGAGATCATTTTAAGTTTCCCAGAGTTGGCTTTAATGACTAAGTTCACCTTTTTAGAACATGTTACACCTGTATTGAGGGTGTAACTTGTGGAAAAAAAAAATTCCAGTTCCTGCCCTCCTCTCCCCCCAACGGATTCCCCTGTAACAGTGGGTGGAAGTTCCTCTACCTTGCAGCTGCTGTCATATTTTAAAATCAGTGTGGTTAGCCAGGGCTCCACCTGTCCGGCCATGCCATTAATTTACAGGGATCTGTGAATGAAGAAACTACAGGTCTTATCTGTCACTGTGGCAGATGACTTGTAGTTTTCAGTGGATGGCAGTGGCACCAATGAGTGCCCTCATAGTCACTTGACATTTCCTACAGCTCTAAAACTGACAGCCCATGCATAGTTATTGGTGGCACAGAGATGTAGGCAGTGTATGCAGGATCCTGACACTGCACAAGAGATCCACTGATCAGGGGTGCAGTGTTCTGCAGGCTTATGTGAAAATTTTAAATAATGCACTTGTTTTTCACTGCAAAAATATGTGCATTTAATATTTTTTAATATATATATATATATATATATATATATATATATATATATATATATATATATATATATATATATATATATATATATATATATTATATTTTTTTTTTTTTTTTTTTTTTTTTTTTTTTTCCCTAAAGATAAACTTGGCCTTTAATTAGCAGCACGTTTATCATGCTGCTTCCCTGAGATGAGCGCCATCACCAAGTATGCAGAGAGTGAGGGTTTGTTTGCTACAGTCCCCTTAAAAGAAAAACATCACCCAGACAGGTGCTATCACAGCAGAGCTCCTGCACCATCAGTGTTGATTGTGTGCTGCGGAGATACTTTTTGGACTTGTCTGTGTGAATGACATCTACACATGCGCACACTACACAGGGGGGTGGTGGCAAATGGGCTTTGCCAACAATTTAAATGCCCACAAATTAGGATTCACTCAGGCGAGAAACCGAGGAAATTTAACTAAAGATGGGATTTTCTTCATAATATATTTGCAGTTCATTGAAAAGATAAAGGATGATAATTACACATTAACATGCTGACTGTAGGTTGTTTGGGTGTGTTTTTGTTTTTTTTTTTGTTTTGTTTTTTTTCTTTCACGATTGTGAGCGTTCTTTACCTTATGTGGTTTGCTCAGTACATGCCATGGTATAATGATCGTTCCCACTGAAATAAGTCTTCCATATGTGAACCCCCCCCTCAAGGAGCAATTCAGAAGTGTAGTTGGAACAAACTGCTACAATGTGTATTCATGCACAATGAGTGGGACTGCAGTCAGTTTTGGGCCTATCCACAATGCGATCGTGTTAAGCCTGGTACACACGGTAAGTTGGGCTGGGCTGAGGAGCTTTCAGGAAGTTTCTGTACTAATGACGTGATGTTAGTACAGCAATCTCCCTGCTGAACTATTGTGTTCTGACGGGAACCGCCCCTGTGTACACTGGTCAGCTCTCACAGTTGTTGGCTGAGATCACTGATCGGATGCTGATCTGCTGCTGGTTTTCCAGCAAGCTTGTTCGACAGAAGCTGGCTCAGAGATTGGCTTCTGTCAAACAATGACCTGTACACACAGGCCAAATGTCAGCTGGTGTCTACTGTACTGGCTGATTTCAGGCAAAATTAGGTCCGTGTGTATGTGGCTTTAGTGCAGATATTTACCTAGGAGCAAACTATAGTTTGTAACCCCCCCCCCAGCCCCCCCCCCCCCCCCCCCCCTTTTTTTTTTTTTTTATAGAGGAAGCTGTGTTGATGGACCAAAAAAAAAGTTAGCCCACACTGTTATGACAAAAGGGGTTGGTTTACAAAGAGGTTGTTTTTTAAAGCAACTTGTATACTAGCCAAAATAAAACTTACACAAATACTTTAAAGTGCATCGTCACACTAAAAGGAAAAAAAAAAATTTAGTAAGAATAGTGTGGACCCTGCTCAAGCCTCCTGGGATATGCACAACACCTATCCCAAGAGGTTTTGGATCCTACACAGCAGATGGAGAGGGTGGACCTGGCAGAGTGTCATCAGGGGGCTACCTGGGGAACTAGAAAGAGGCAGCTGGCTCCCAATGATGTCCGAGGAAGATGGCGTCAGAGGAATCGGCTTGTGGCAGCTGAGTGGTGGATCAAAGCAGGATACTGCTGGATTTGCTGGGCTGGTGAGTGTTGTTTTCCTGTCTTTGTGCTAATCATGAAAAAAAGAGACATGGGGTAGAGTTCCTCTTTATTGAAAATTGTCCAGTCCCACTGCAAGACTCCTGTTATCAATGTCTTGCAGCTCTACAGCCAAGTAGTGCAATTCAGTGCTCCTTGGTGTGGTGTGTTTATCAACATGTTTGATTCACACAGGAGCACTGTTCTGTGTGTGTGTGGTTTTTTTTGTGTTTTTTTTTTTTTGAAAAATTTTGAAATTATTTTAGAATTAGAATACAAATTTGTGTAAAGCTTTTTTAATTCTATACTTTTCTTTCTTGTTCAATGTGACACTAAAGGATTGATTGCAAGGCTATTTAAAAATGTAATTTATTAAAAAAAATAATGTTTTTTTTTTTTTTTTGGACACAAAACATTAACAAACAAAAAAGGTTTACATAGTGATGGTAAAGAAACAAGCAGCAGGAAAATAACGGTTGAAGGAGCAAGGGGAATTAATTACGGGTAAAACTAAGGGTTTTTTTTTTTCTTTTGGAGGTTAGGTATTTTTTATTTTATCATTGGGTTGCTGTACTTGACAGCATCTCCTTTTTTGACCTGCAGATGAAGTAGATACAGAAGTGACAATGTTTGTGTGGATCTCTGAATCAGTGGTCTCCAAGCTGCGGCCCTGGGGACAGATGTGACCCTTTGCTTGCTTTCATCCAGCCCTCGAGGCATTATTCCTCCCACTGCAAGCAGCAGTGTGCCATAGTTTCTCCCACTGACATAGACAATGGGGCACTATTCCTCCTTTTGACACCAAGGACGGGGCACTATTCCTCCTATTGACACCAACTACAGGGCACGGTTTATTCCCACTGATGCCAGGGCATTTTCTTCTCCCACTGGCCACAGTCCCCCCCCTAAAGTTTGAAGGAGCATAAACTGGCCCTTTGTTTAGAAAGATTGGAGACCCCTGCTGTAAATCTCTAAATGTGTCTCTAGATACATCTCTCCAGTGGAGTCCTAGATATCAGTAAACACCCCTACAGGCATTTTAATCTTTACCTACTCTGTCTAAAACTAGAAAGAGAGAGAGGGTTTTTTTTAGTTCAGATAAACTGTCAGTAATATATCCAAATATAATTAAAATATTATAGTATATGTTCCTAGAACTAAAATACCCTGTTTCTGAGCACAGTCTATTCCCATTATCAGCAGGAACCCACTGCATTATGATCGACCTGTTTACTCCATAATCTCTGCCCTATCAATGTAATAAGGCTATGACTCAGCTCCTAAAGCACACACTGTCTCATGGTGTACCAGTAGGAGAATAGCACTGATACAAACCCATAATAAAATCACTGGCATTGCAAACCTTTTTAGCTGTGTTTTTTGGTGTGCATGAAACTTGACTATTCCATGAATGCAACTGTATGCTATCTGGGGTGTGCTCTTATTTTTACTTGCATACCAAGCATCTGTGTCAGTAAATATACACAGTGCCTTCATAAAGTATTCAGACCCCCTTCCCATTTTAAAATGTTATGTTGCAGCCTGATACTACAGTTATTTAAATTATTGCAGCAATTACAGCCTTGAATTTTTTTCGGTATGACACAACAAGCTTTGCACACCTGGACTGGGCCACTCTAGGACATTCAGAGCTTTCCCTAAGCCTCTCCTGTGTTGTCTAGGCTGTGTTCTTAGGATCGTTGTCATGTTGGAAGGTGAACCTTCGGCTCAGACTGAGATCCTAAGCTCTGTAAAACAGGTTTTCATTGAGGATATCTCTGTACTTTGCTCCATTCAGCTTTCCCTCAACCCTGACCAGTCTCCCAGTCCCTGCTGCTGAAAAACACCCGCACAGCATGATGCTGCCACCACCATGCTTCACTGTTGGGATGGTATTGGACAGGTGATGAACAGTGGCTGGTTTCCTCCAGACATAAAGTTTTAGAATTGAGTCCAAACAGTTCAGTCTTGGTTTCATCAGACCAGACACTAGTGTGTGTGTGTGTGTGTGTGTGTGTGTGTGTGTGTGTGTTTGAAACTTCAAGTGGGCTTTCACGTGTTTTGTACTTCCGACCATAGCCACCTCTCTTACGAAGACCCTTCTCCCCTGATTTCTGTTTGGCTGGGCGACCATCTCCCCTTATAGAGGCCACTGTGCTCTTGGGAACCTTCAGTGTGTGTGTTTGTAGGCTTCCCCAGATCTGTGCCTTGCAATAATCCTGTCTAAACTCTGCCAAAAGTTCCTCTAACCTCAAGGCTTTTGCTCTGATACAGTATGCATGGTCACCTGTGAAGCTTTTTATAGAGAGGTGTGTGCCTTTCTAAATCGTGTCCAATCAATTTAATTTACCATAGGTGGACTGCAATCAAGGCGCAGAAACATCTCTGCAATGTTCAAGTTAAATGGGAGGCACCTGAGCTAAATTTCAAGTGTTGTTGCAAAGGGACTAAATAATCGTACCGATGCGATTTCAGTTTTTCCTCTTTCTTACATTTTGCAAACCTTTCTAAAATTCTGTTTTCACTTTGTCCTTATGGGGTACTGAGTGTAGAATAATAAGAGAAAAAGTGAATTTAAACAACTGTTGTATCAGGCTGCAACATAACATTGGGGAAAAAAAGTAACAGGGGTCTGAATACTTTGACTGCACTGTACTTAACTTGCATACCAAGCATCCCTGTAGTCTATTAAAAGCAGCCCGGTCGCTACAGTAAACAAAATTCACACACCTACTGTAAGGAAATATGTTTTATTAAGTGGCATCCATTTTGTATAATTCCTCCATTTCTAGATGTTAATAACGAGGACAGGGGCTACAGAAATAGGCTGATTCCTTTCACCCACAGCCATGTTAAATATTAAACTATTGCACCAGGCAGTGAGTGAAGTCTTTACGCTTTTGAAGAGTTACAAGCACCACTGGTATCTGATGATTCTAGGTGTGACTGATTCCTTGTCCCCAACAGTGCCCTGTAGTGACATAGCTTATGCTGGTAATCGGACAAACAAAGCTTTCTTTTGGTGATATTTTTTACTAACAATGTTAGTTTGAAAAGAGGTGGGAAAAAGGTTTCTATAGACCTTATGAAAACTTTTTAGAGCAGCTTTTAGATGGTGTTCCTTCCATAACAAATCTAACGTTTTGCACACTCTTCCGCGTTATCGGTACCACTGCACTGCCACCATAACTCTAAAAATGAATTCAGCAGCTACAAATATTGTAGCTGCTGACTTTTTTAATATAAGGGCCCGTGGGTCCAGCAATGTTCTCACCCGAGCCAATTTTTTAATCGGCTTTGGGTGCTAGTGCTGACACTTTAAGTAGGGGAAACTGGAAGTGAAGCTGGTTTCCTACTGCGCATGCATGATGCGGCACTGCGCTTTTTGAAAGAGCTGCAGTCTTCTGGGATCTGAGAAGTGTTCCAGAAGGTTGCAGGGGATGGGGGGTTGACGGGTTAATAATGAAGTTCCAGCTCAGATCGCCACAGCGATCTGACCCGGAAGTGGGAGTGGGTAACTGTCAAAACCAGGCACCCAAACCCTCCTCCCAAAAACTGCTGGGTGTGGGGGGGAAGTAGACAAGAGTAAATTCCCCTTTTGGGTGGAGTTCTGCTTTGTAACTCTTGGCTAGCCCAAAAAATATCTGATCCCAGCATATTCAGAAATATAATTATTTTTTTGTCTAAGAGGATCTAATACAGAGAGTCCTCTTATCTCCAATGCTGGAATGTGAATGTGTCCTCCAACACCATGTTGAATACAGGACTGGCAATGGATGTGAGCAAGTAGGGTGACCAGTCAGACAGCCATAAAGGCACATTCTGGGGGCTGATCATTACACCTGTAACAAGTGGATGGAAATACTGCATGATTAAAGTAAGTTTTCCTCTGTAGACAAAAATCTATTCTGCTTATTCTTTGAAGAGGCCCTGCTAATTTGTTCTGTGCCCACAGTGGTAGTTGGCTCACCTCAACAGGAAGGTATCCTTACAGATCCATGCTCTCTTGCCACCTCCTCACTGCAAGTGTCCATCAGGTGGATGTTGTCACAGACTATGGTGATTAGCCATTCGGAGCTCAAGCATTGGCACATGGAGGTCACATGCTCTCCCATACCCGGAGGTGGAGAATGAGCGCTGGTCAGAGAATATAGCTTGCTGGGGGGGGTAGACCCTGAAGACAGACTTATCACTGACAATGCGCTTTTGTGGAAAGAGAATCTTCATTAGAAATACTGCAGTTATTAACTTGCTCTTTTCTTCATGTTAGATACACGGGACCTTTGTCTGATGAAGATGCTCTGCTGGATTCCTGTGAGTTAGGAGCTGCATGTCAGCAGTTTACCGCACTCTGTGTGTGGCTTGTGTCAGAACTAAAATCTGTGTCTTATCTAGTGGAAAATGTCAGCCCTACTGAAGGTGAGAGCCATTTACATATATCGGTGTCTTTATGCCCATTTTGCGTCACCTCCTAACTAGCAGCTAAAGTATATGAATAGCCAAAATTTTTGTTTTGTTTTGTAGTTTTGGTTTGAATAGAGAATGATTATAACATTTGTCAGACTTTTAGGAGTGGATGTATGCTACTGGATTTCCTTACGTTCACTTTTTTTTATCACAAAATGGGGAACGTTGTTTAGGTGTATGGTGTTTTAGATACTAGGCAGTCAAGGGCTCACTCTATACATTTAGGGGCTTCCACAGACACCAGGGATCATGACTGGATAAAGGCTACCTGGAACTGAAGTCACACCATGACATCAGATCTAAATGGGGAAAAATATCATGCTGGATGTATATACTGATATGGACTGGGTAATGTTAGGAACATAAGGATGCCCCATCGTTTGATGGAAATGAAAATTATCAACTTACAGAGGACTAAATTCAAAGACACCCCGAAAATCAAAGTGAAAAAAAAATGATATAGCACGCTAGTCCATTTTTGCTGAAATTTCTTTGCAGCAACTCAAAATGGTACTCAGTAGTTTGTATGGCCCCCACGTGCTTGTATGCATGCCTGACAATGTCGAAGCATGCTCCTAATGAGACAACAGATGGTGTCCTGGGTTATTTGCTCACAGATCTGGACCAGGGCATTACTGAGCTCCTAGACAGTCTGAGGTGCAACCTGGTGGCATCGGATAGACTGAAGCATGATATCCCTGAGGTGTTCTATTGGATTTAGGTCAGGTGAGCATGGGGGCCATTCAATGGTATAAATGCCTTCATCCTCCAGAAAACTGCCTGCATACTCTTGCCACATGAGGCTGGGCATTGTCATGCACCATGAGGAACCCAGGACCCACTGCACCAGCATAGGGTCTGACAATAGGTCCAAGGATTTCATCACGATACCTAATGGCAGTCAGGGTGCCATTGTCTAGCCCAGCAATGGGCAAACTACGGCCGCGGGCCGTATACGGCCCGGCGGACCTTTTAATCCGGCCGCGGAGCTAGGCTCCCGCAAGGCCAGTGGTCGGCAAGCCGCGGCTCTTTACAATAGATGCGGCTCTCCTGTGTGCCGGGCGCCCGCTCCCCTCCCTCCTCTCGGGCGGGGGCGGGCGACCTCCTCTCCTCCTCTCCCCTCCCCTCCTCTCGGATGGCCGCCCCCCCTCTAGGATGGCCGCCCCCTCCCTCCTCTCGGGCGTCAGGACTCTGCAGCTGTCAGGATGTAGGCGGGGCAGCCAGGATGTAGGCGGGGCAGCGTGACGAACTCTTCTCTCACAGTCCTCCCTGAAGACCAGAACGGCGCGGGAATACGAGAGGAACGCGCGGAGGAGCAAAGGTAAGTGAATTGACACAGGGGGGGCTTACTATATGGGGAATGAATTACTATATGGAGGACTTACTATATGGGGGATGAATTACTATATGGGGGACTTACTATATGGGGAATGAATTACTATATGGGGGACTTACTATATGGGGGATGAATTACTATATGGGGGACTTACTATATGGGGGAATGAATTACTATATGGGGGACTTACTATATGGGGAATGAATTACTATATGGGGGACTTACTATATGGGGGATGAATTACTATATGGGGGACTTACTATATGGGGAATGAATTACTATATGGGGGACTTACTATATGGGGAATGAATTACTATATGGGGGATGAATTACTATATGGGGGACTTACTATATGGGGAATGAATTACTATATGGGGGACTTACTATATGGGGAATGAATTACTATATGGGGGACTTACTATATGGGGAATGAATTACTATATGGGGGACTTACTATATGGGGAATGAATTACTATATGGGGGACTTACTATATGGGGGACTTACTATATGGGGGATGAATTACTATATGGGGGATGAATTAATATGGGGGATGAATTAATATGGGGGATGAATTAATATGGGGGATGAATTACTATGTGGGGGATGAATTACTATGTGGGGGATGAATTACTATGGGGGATGAATTACTATATGGGGGATGAATTACTATGTGGGGGATGAATTACTATGTGGGGGATGAATTACTATGGGGGATGAATTACTATGGGGGATGAATCTCCAAGATACGCTCCTTCCTTACCCCAGACACCACTAAACTACTCGTTCACTCCCTGATTATCTCACGCCTGGACTACTGCAACTCCCTCCTCACCGGCCTACCCCAGTGCAAACTCACCCCGCTTCAGACCATCCTGAACTCAGCTGCCAGACTCATCCACCTCACCAGCCGCTCCACCTCTGCCACCCCCTCTGCCTCTCCCTCCACTGGCTCCCCATTGCCCAACGCATTAAATTCAAACTGCTCACTCTGACCTATAAAGCCATTCACAACACTGCCCCTAACTACCTCACCGACCTGATTCCCAGATACCACCCTACCCGTACCCTTCGCTCTTCACAGGACCTCCTTCTATCTTGCTCCCTGGTCTCCTCCTCCCACGCACGACTGCAAGACTTCTCCAGGTCCTCCCCCATCCTCTGGAACTCACTACCCCAACCCATCAGACTGTCACCTTCCCTCCTCACCTTCAGGCGCTCCCTGAAAACCCACCTCTTCAGGGAAGCCTACCCCACCCTCACCTAACAGCCGCTGCCCTTCCCTCCTCCTTCCACTTCATCCCCCACAGCCATTTCCTCCTGTACCTCTACCCCCTCCCTCCTAGATTGTAAGCTCGAAAGAGTAGGGCCCTCTTACCCCTTGTGTGCTGTTTGATGTTACTGTACTGTTTCATGTATTGTCCCCCCTCTATTGTACAGCGCTGAGCAAACCCTTTGGCGCTATATAAACTCGATAAATAAATAAATAAATAAATATGGGGGATGAATTACTATATGGGGGATGAATTACTATAAGGGGGACGAATTGCTATATGGGGGGACGAATTACTATATGGGGGACGAATTACTATATGGGGGATGAATTACTATATGGGGGATGAATTACTATGGAGATGAATTACTATATGGGGGATTAATTACTATGCTTACTATGGGGGAATATTACTATACTTACTATGGATGACACATACACATCATTCATCTACTCTTGGTCCGGCCCCCGGGTCCAATATATGAACCCATTGCGGCCCTCAAGTCAAAAAGTTTGCCCACCCCTGGTCTAGCCTGTAGAGGTCTGTGCATCCCCAGACCATCACTGACCCACCATCAAAACGATCTTACTGAACGATGTTACAGGCAGCATAACATTCTCTATGGCTTCTCCAGACCCTTTCACATGTGCTCAGGGTGAATCTTCTCTCACCTGTGAATAGCTCAGGGCGCCAGTGGCTGACCTGCTAATTCTTGTGTTCAATGGCAAAAAGCCAATTGAGCTCTGTGGTGCCAGGCAGTGACCACAGGGCCCACTAGAGGAAGTCAGGCCCTTAGAACACTCTCATAAAGTCTGTTTCTCATTGTTTGGTCAGTGACATTCACGCCAGTGGTCTGCTGGAGGTCATTTTGTAGGGCTCTGGCAGTGCTCATCCTGTTCCTCCTTGCACAAAGGAGCAGATACCGGTCCTGCTGATTGGTTAAGGACCTTCTACAGCCCTGTCCAGTTCTCCTAGAGTAACTACCTGTCTCCTGAAATCTCTTCCATGCTCTTGAGACTGTACTGGGAGACACCGCAAACCGTTTGGCAATGGCACATATTGACGCCATCCTGAAAGATTTGGACTGCCTGTGCTACCTCCTGTAGGGTCCAGGTGTCACCTCATACTACCAGTAGTGACACTGACCCTAGCCAAATGCAAAACTAGTGAAAAACAGTCCTAAAAGATGAGTAGGAAAAAAATGTCAGTGACCATTCCTGTTTTGGGGGTCATCTCATTGTTGCCCATCCAGTGCACCTGTTAATTTCATTAACACCAAAGCAGCTAAAACTGATTAACAACCCCCTCTGCTGGGGCCTGAATATGGTGCCGACTGAGAGCTCAGTGTGAGAGCTCTCAGACACCAGGCGTTCCTGGCGTCCCGCAAAAAGTGATGCCCAGGAGATTGTGAGACACCTGGGGCGCAGAACTGCCTGGGGGGGGGGGGGGTGAGTCTGGCTGGGGTGTGCTTCCTTGATGGTGGCGGAGGATGCAGCAAGAAGTGTCAGCTGACCGGAGGATAGGTGGAACCTGCCTGGGGCCGGAACGGTGGACACCGGGCGGTCACGTGGCCTCTGCGGAAGAGTGTGGGAGACAGACGCTGGCTGGTCCGGCACAGTGGAGAATCGGACCGCTTCACTGCAAGCCTGCCCAGGATTCTGTGAAACCTCAGAGAGGTGACCCCCCCCCCCCCCTCCCAAATAGCTTACTGCTGTTGAGGGACTCTTCTGACAGCCTGATTGATTTGGTAAGAGGAAACCTATCTTTAGCCACTGCAGTGGAAGAAGGTAATGTGAAGGAGGTACACGAGGAGCTACAGGGGACGGTGAGTTAAAAAAACTTGAAATCTAAAGGTGGACTTGTATTTAAAGTTTATTGGGGGGGTCACCCAAGGGGTTCAGAAGAGGAAGTCATCACAGAGACACGAGAGGTGGAGAGAAAAGAGAGAACCAGAAGACCCCTAGTCGGGACCGGAGTAGAAAGGAGAAGGAAGAAGGAAAAAATTAAAGGGACATTATCTCCTTTTGAGCCATAACCCTAATTTACTCCATAGAAGTAACCCCTTAGCCAGGAAAAAATAGAAAATTATAATACCATCATGAAAATTTAAAGCGGCAAAGAGGGGAGGGGCAAAAACATCCCAAACAAGTTCTATCAAAAAGATATATACCCTCACAAGAAAAAAACTTAGAGGGACAAACCCCAGAGAGGCAACAAGAAATAAGTGGAAGAAGGGAGATGGAAAAATACAATTGGTGATTGTCTCTGGTAATATCTAATACTAGTCAAAATATAGAAGCGGAAGATCTAGAAAATGTAGTGGCTATTGAGAATTCCAAAGAAC